AGACCGACTTTTGGCCGCTTCCCCCCCAACCCCCCTTCCACAGCAGCCCCCTTTGGACTGGCCGCCCGGGCTTGCTTCCAGGTAAGTTTGTGAAATATTTGGCCGCTCCTCGGCTTACCTTTTCCTCCTTTTATTCCAGCTCGTCCAGGCTGCCAGTCGATGTTTTCTCCTCATGCGCCGGGCGCCATCCTTGGCCCGTCGCGCCCGGCAGATGGTCCTCGGGCGGACGTCCATGGAGCCGTTGAGTCCCTCGCCGACCCTCTCTCGTTTCGCTCCTCGCCGGCCCGCGCGCCTGGCTCGCGCCCCTCGCGGGGTCATTGACCCGTATGGCCCTTGTATTTTTTCTGTGTTGATCTGAACGTGTTTGTGGGAGGCACTGCATCGATACTCCGTATCGTCCTCTCCCTTTCTTACGAAACGGACGTACAGTGTGCCCCCGCAATGACGGCTGTTACTTACTGTTTCTCCTCAGATGTGCCTGGTATTAACTCACTAATGTGAGACTTTTTCTCCTTGCCACTCAGGCAGTGCCGCAAGTTACATATTACTGGGGAAACAAAATCAACAATCGTAAATGGCCCGCGAAGCCTTCCACTGCTTTTGACAGGTGGTGCTCCTTGGCCCAGACCTTATCGTCAATCCTTGGCGACCATGGTCTCCTCCGCAGGTTGTAATGGCGCGCCTGATCCTGCGCCGCCTTTTCCATATTACGCCTTACTAGTTCAAAAATTTCTGATAATTTTTGTGCGTTTTCACTTGGTGTTTGCGTGGCTTTGCCGGTCCCGATCGTGCGTTCATCATATAGCGCCTTCGGGAGTCGGGGTTCTCGACCTTGGGTGACGAATGCTGGCGAGTACCCAGTGGACTCCGCCACACTGATATTAACCGCCAGCTGTAATTCTGGCCATTTTCGTCTCACGTCCTTTGGTCGGTCCCATTTCCGCTATCCAGTCGCGTTCCGCAGTCTTCGGGCCTGTCTTTGCCGTCTTAATTCTGCGACATTCCGCTGGCAGGGCGTCTGCCCTCGACAGGGCGTCTGCCTCGACATTGAGCTGACCTTTCCGATAGGATATTTCGAAGTCATACTGCTGGAGTTCCAACGCCCATCTCGCAATCCTTCCCGACGGGCTCTCTATGCTGCTGAGCCACTTCAGTGCCATATGATCCGTGATTACTTTGAAGTGGTATCCCTCCAGGTACGGTCGCAACTTCCTTATGGCTCACACAATTGCCAAGCCTTCCTTTTCAGTTGCGGAGTAATTTCTTTCCGCTCCATTTAGGGAGCGACTTGAATATGAAATTACTCTCTCGCCTTGATCTGAATGCTGCGTGAGTATGGCGCCAAGCCCGTAGTCGCTGGCGTCTGTCTGCAGGACGAACGTCTTCGTGGAGTCTGGGCATGCCAGGATTGGGTCTGCGACCAGCCTGGCCTTGACCGCCTCGAATGCCTTCTGGTGGTCGTCGGTCCACTCCCATTTCACCTTATTCCGGAGTAGGGCATTTAGTGGCTGGACTAGTGTGGAAAACTCGGGTACAAAGCGTCGGTACCATGATGCCACTCCCAGGTATTGCCTCAGCTCCTTAACGTTGGCTGGGGGTTCCAGCAACGCTATCGCCGCTTCCTTCTCCGGATCAGTTCCAATTCCTTGGTCCGTGATGCGATGTCCCAAGTACTGCAGCTCCTTCCTGAAGAACTTGCACTTCTCCACATTCACTTTCAGGTTCGCTGCCCGCAGTCTTCGGAACACTTCCCTCAGGTTTCTTTTATGCTCCTCCAGCGTCCGTCGGATGACGATAATATCGTCCTGGTACGCAAAGGCGTGCGGCATCATCTCAGGCCCTATGACCTGATCGAGCGCCCTTTGGAACGTTGCCGACGCTGAGTGCAGCCCGAATGGCATCACCTTCCATTGGAACAGTCCCTTTCCTGGAACGGTGAACGCGGTATACTGCCTGCTCTTCTCTTCCAGCGGTATTTGCCAGTATCCATCCTTTAAGTCCAGGCTGCTGATGTATCGTGCCTCCCTTAATTGATCCAGGATGTAATTGATCATAGGCATCGGGTACGCATCCTTTACCGACTTTGCGTTGATTTGTCGGAAATCTACGCACAGCCTCCATTTTCCCGTCTTCTTCTTTACCATGACGATCGGAGAGCTGTACGGGCTTCTTGACGGCTCGATGCATCCTTTTTCCAGCAGCTCGTCTACCTTTTCGTTTATTTCCCCCTGTATTTTGGGGTTTTTTGGGTAGTACCGCTGCTTCACTGGCTGGTCGTCCTTCATCGTGATCTTGTGGACGGCTCCGCATGACTCTTCTAGAGCTTTCAGCTCCTCCTTCAGGAATTTGGTGATGTCCTCTTCCGAAAACTCTTCCGGTCTTTCTTCCAGCATTCCTAGTCTGCGCTTCCTTGCTGGTATCGCCACCTCCAGTCCTGCGCATTTTACCTCCGCTCCTATTTTTGTGAGGAAATTCCAGCCCAACACTAGGGCGTCTATCACTCTTGGGAGGATTAATAATTGCATCAACACCTTTTTCGTCCCGATACCAACCACTATTTCCAGCTGTGATTGGATGCTCCCGCATCTTCCGTCTGCCATGCGCACCTGCCTTCTCGTCGGTACGACCTTACCGGCGGTCTGCAGCCTGTCCGCCAACTCTTCGCTTATAAAGCTTGCCGTGGCGCTAGTGTCCACCGTGGCCTTCACTTTTCGTTGGTTTATGAGCACTGTGGCGGACAGCTGCATCTCTTCCGCCTTCAGGTCGCCCATTAGTTTCGAGAGGCAGCACCTTGCGATCCCTGGCCGCCCCTCGGTGGCTGAGGTCGCTTGGCGTTTCCCGCTCGTGCGCAGCATTCGCCGTTCGTGACGCCTATTTTCCCGCATCTCCAGCAGAATGCGATTCTTCTGTTGCGGCATTCTTTCGCCCAGTGGTCTTGGCTTCCGCATCTCCGGCATGTCTGGGATGGATTATTTACATATCCCGGCCGTGCGTTTCGCTCGTCTGGCTCCTCCTGACAGCGCCTGCACGTGGCTGCTGGTTCTCTCCTCATGCCCGGCGCATGGTATCGGGCTTTTGGGATGTTTTCTTGCTCGAACCGCTCCCTCTGTTGGTCGAGCTCCTCAAATTCGTCCGCTAATGCCATCAGGGTATCCAGGTTCTGGCACCTGTAGGGGCGGATAAACAGCCGTAGTGTCGGGGTGCTGTTTTCCTTAATCCGCTCCAAGATTTCGTCCTTGTTCAAACCCAGGGGTCGCATCAATGTCTGCATGTCTACCATGTAGTCCTTGAAGCTTTCGCCGTAGTTCTGCTTCCTCTGCCTGACCTGATCTGCGAGTTTGTTCATAAATCCCTGGGCAAGAAGAACTCCTGGAAGCTCTGGCTAAATTCGCCCCAGGTCTCCCAGAACCTGTTGTTGGCGATGAACCATTTGAACGCTCTGCCCTGAAGCAGTTCCGGCATCGCCCTCGGAATTTGGTTGATGTCTAACCCGTATGTCATGGCCGACCACACCACTTGTTCGAGGAACTCGAGGGGGTTCTCATTCCCGTCGTAACGGAAACTCCACTCCCTGACTTGTTCTGCGATCTTGGCATAATCCTGTCCGGGTCTGCCATTCTCCGCTCGTTGTTCGCGGCTGTCGCTCTTCCTCTCCCTGCTGTACTCCCGTCGGTCGCGGCTGCTGCTCCTGCCGGCGTTCTGCATGCTGCTCACGTCCAGGCTGCGCACCAGGCCCTCGGCTCCGGTGACTTTCAGGCCGACCGACGGGTACTTGGCGTAATCCCTTTCGCTTGCGATTGCTGGGAAATCGTCCTTTTTCAGGTTATATAACCTCGACTTCCCCATTCTAAATCTATTTTCTGGTTTCGTTGGTCTGAGTATCACGCTTGGGCGCCATATGTAACGAACTGCTTTTTATCTCTTCGCTCGCTACGTAAACGTGCGGCTAGCTCAGTTGAGTTTGTGTGTTCGTCCCACCAAATTTATTGTTGCGTGACCCCGAGACCAAAGAAGAACGCAGAGTTAGGTTAGATTTTTTTTTCTGTTCCTCGAGAACTAGTGAGATGTTCAAGGGGGGGCTTAGCTGGGGCCACCAGGCGGGTCGCAGGTTGCGGATAGCGAACGGCCTTATTCATAAGGTTAGTTGTGAATAAGCGCAAGCTAATAAGCAACCCCGGACAAACAGCGGGTACACCGAAGTCGGTGTACTGATAAGACGCTTGTTTGGCCGTCTTCAAATTGTAGCCTTATACAACCCTCTTCCCTCACAATTACCTACCAACTTCCCTTCCCACAACCTCACTCCGGTGCCGGACTAAGCTGTCATCCGACCCGTGCCGATAGTCAGCTTGGCTGGGGGCCCGGATTAACAAATAGCCCAGTCTTTCACGGAGGGCTTAGGCAAGTGGCGACCGCCTGTCCTAACCGCACCTTACCCGGGTATGGCGGATCTCTGCCCGGGTGGACCATACCTTCTCCGCAACTCGTGGGATTCGATTATGAAGAAGCATACGAACACTAAACTACCGCAGGACATCCTTGCCTCGAGTGTCGCAAGACACTTCGAAAACCAACTCCTCGACGGGGAGCGACCACAGGTGGGACCATCCCCACCCAGGAGCGCAGCCACCGCCAGGAGTGCGTCTCGGACGCAAGATGTGGGAATCCCCCACAATGGTCAACTGTTCCAGTCCGGGAACGTGCGCGACCAGCAGGACCATCCCGGCTGGCTCGCCCACCCCCCGCGGCTGGACAGAGGACCAGGCCTGCCAAAGGACAACCTGGAGGCCTAGACGACCCCAACAGGAGAGGCCTGCCGGGGTCCAAAACAAAATGGTACCTCAGATACCTCCAGCAGGGCATGTCACCTGACGAGGCACTGAGGAAGGCAAAGGAGCCACGACCAGCGGCCCCAAGTAGTGCACCTGCAAGCAAGCGGGGTAACAGCACCCTCACCCCTCCAACGGACACCCCAAAAAGGTAGAAGTCAGAAGGCACTAATGAGTTTAAGGCTACCCTCCTGCCCAAAGCCTGAGGAGCCTTGCACCTCAAAGGCGGCGGCAGCAAGGAGACCTCCCCCTAAGCCATCTGCTGGAACACTCAGCGTACCGAAGGCAAGTGAAGGGAGTGCGAAGCAGCCACCCTCCATCTCCACAGCCCCTCTCACTGGCACACACACCTCCCATGCGGAGGCCGCCAAGAGGGTCAGAGTGGCGGTGTTACCTGAGGATTTCCCACAGGTGCACTTGAGCCACGAAGAACTGTCCGAGTTGGAGGAGGCCATCATGGACGACGTAATCACGTCGGCATGGGACACGGCAGTCGCGTTTAGGGGCATCCACTTCAGGGTAGGATACCTCCTCATCGACTGCCTGGACCAGGACTCAGCGGACTGGCTGAGGGCCGTTTTGCCCTTGCTCAGAACGTGGAAGGGCGTGCCCCTAGAAACCAAGGTGGGAGAAGATATCCCCGCGGCATATAATGTCTTCTGCCCCAGAAGCTCGGAAAGAGAAAATGAGGAACTCCTCACGATGCTTGGGCGACAGAACAGCCTGGAGACGGATGCCTGGGGAGTGGTCTCCCGGAGGAACGATGGAGGCGGAGCACTCCTTGTCATCGGGATCGACCAGCTCACCCGAGACGAGATCGTAGCTAGAGGGCATCAGCTCAACTTTAGGTACGGTACCGTCTCGGTGAGTGGGCTGAGAAAGGCGGCAAAGATGGCCGCAATAGAAGGAGCGCCCTCTGGTCCCCCAGATGGCAAAGTGGAGGTCGAGGAATCCCTCGACGAGCCACAGGAGCCTATGGGTACAGATGAGGACCCTGGCGCCGTTACAGACGTGAGGAATGAGGATGAGAAGCATCCTACGCCCTCCGACAATAACGACGAAACGGAGGCCGACGTCACTCTGACGGATGGCAGTGGAGGGGAACACCCGCCCCCTTCACCAAATATTGAGCATCCGCTCCAATGATGGCTGCACACAGCAGCACGAGGCTAGCCCAGGTGAACCTACACCGAGCCAAGGCGGCATCAGCCGTCCTGGCCAGGTTGTTCACCAACCAACATCTCGGGCTAGCTCTCATACAGGAGCCTTGGTACAATCAGGGCATTAAAGGCCTGTACACCAAGGAATCAAAGGTAATATGCGACGAACGGGGTACACACCCTAGAGCATGCATATTAATAAGAAAACATATCAATTATAATATCTTTTTAGAGTTCCTAAGCAGTGACTGTGTCGCGGTAACTATGAGCGGCGCAGGAAGGTTACCAGCGATCGCCATAGCATCGCCGTATTTTGCTGGGGATGCAGCATGCCCACCACCGGAAATCACCGGACTCGTGGAATGCTGCAGGAGGAAGAAGATGCCCCTAATCACATCACGTGAAAAAAACTTTAGACTATCATATTAGGAGCACAGTTCAATAAGAAGGTGGATTGGAGCTTTGTTAAGCTCCAGACAGGCAATGGTGACCATTGGCAATAGCACAATGACCGTTGCCACGAGCAAAGGATGTCCGCAAGGTGGAGTTTTATCTCCTCTACTGTGGAGTCTACTAGTGGATGAACTACTAAAACTCGCCGATAGAGGAATACAATACCAGGGCTATGCCGATGACATAGTAATAGTAGCCAAAGGGAAATTTGAAGAAACGCTTTGCGATATTGTCCAACTCGGACTCAAGATAACGCTCGACTGGTGCAGGGAAGTTGGACTTAACCTCAACCTCGCAAAAACAGTCATTGTTCCTTTTACAAAGAAGTACAAACTGAAGAAGATGAGACAAATCATGCTACTAGGTACTCCCGTAGCAATAAGCCGGGAAGTTAAGTACCTCGGAGTTACCTTCGACAGGAGGCTAACGTTTGCAACCCATATGCAAAAGACAGTGGATAAGTGCCTCAGGGCTCTCTTCACCTGTCGGAAAATTGCAGGGAAATCTTGGGGGACCTCACCCCAAATTATCAGATGGCTATACCTTATAATTGTGAGGCCAATACTCAAATATGGGGCAGTAGCCTGGGGTAAAAGAGCTAGGCTCATTACCGCACAGAAACAGCTCCAAAGGCTGCAAAGACTGGCATGCATATGTATGACAGGAGCAATGAGAACGTGCTCTACTGCGGCACTGGAAGTTCTCATGGAACTCACTCCGCTACACTGCGTAGTAGAGTTACAGCGGAAGGCCACCCTACTAAGAATCACTTCTTGTGATAATGGCAGTGACCGCATCCTCAGTTCTAGGGATGCAGCAAAACTACTAGTCGAACTTCCCCTGAGCTCACACCCCAGGGACGAAATGACAGAAGAATTCATCTTTGAAAAGAATTTCTCTGCTCATCTGAACAACAAGAAAGAATGGACCACCATGAAGGAAGTACACTCCATGACGAGTCACACTATAGCATGGTATACGGACGGGTCTTTGACACACCAAGGCACTGGCCTTGGAGTAGTAGGACCACGAATCAAGTACCATGAATCGTTAGGCCAATACACCAGCATATTCCAAGCTGAAGTTTGCGCCATAGGACGGTGTGCAGAGCTCAACATGAAGCGTAGGTACACAAACAAGGACATTGCGATCCTCTCGGACAGTCGAGCGGCAATTACTGCTGGTTCGAGAAGTAAGAACAAAGCTAAACCTTCTGGGCAGCAACAACAGGCTGCCATTAAGATGGATCCCAGGACACAAAGACATATCCGGGAATGAACTAGCCGACAGGCTAGCAAAACTAGGGGTGGAACGACCCCTTATAGGACCCGAGCCTTACTGTGGCATAGGCAGACACACAGTCAAAGATTACCTAAGAACGGAAGAGGTACATATGAGGGAAGCCTGCTGGGTAGACACCACAGGCCAAAGACAAGCCAAAACCCTCATCGTCAATTATGACATGAAGAGGTTTAAGAAACTTATACTACTAGGGAAGAGATCACTTAGGATAGTTACCGGCTTACTAACCGGACACTGCAAACTAAGGAGACACCTATTTAATATAGGGATTACAAACAGAAAAACATGCAGATTCTGTGATAGCGAGGATGAAACCTCCCTACACATAATAGCAGATTGCCCAGCACTAAGTAGCCTGAGGAGCAGAACCCTCGGGTCCAGGTTCCTTACACTTGGGACCTCTGGAAGCATCGACCCGATAAAGCTCCTTAACCTTATCGAAGGAGCCGGGTTGATGGGTGAGCTCGAAGCTCAGATAGGGGGTACAATAGATCCAGTTGGGTCGAGGTAACCTTTTACCAAAAAAAGCGTTGCTGCAGTCAACACTCTACACTCCACCCTGAAGTCGGTCGGGATTCCGTCGGCTGGGCCTCGGCACAACTCCCTCGGATTTTCGTCGGCTGGCCCTCAGCAGGTTTTACAACTCCTTACAATACACATACTGGACAAAGTCGCAATATGGCGATCTTTTGTATATAGATCGTAGAATCCTGTTATAACGACTCCGCTTAGTGTCCGTCCGGGTTGTGCGACGAAAACTCAATAGTTTGGTTGGTCTCCATACAAACTTATATGAAAGAGCCTCCGCTTAGAGCGTTTCCGCTTTTAGCGACAAACCGCTTATACGAACGAAACTTTTCAAGAAAATTGAAAACTTTAACCGTATATTGCGTCGTGCAGAAAAAAAAATACATTGGAATAGTGCCAAATTTAAGCATCAACACACGCTGTTAGAAAAGTATGTATTTATTAGTGATTGGAACCTTTGCTTGTGTGCGTAGCAGCGACACGAAGGATCTTACACTGTCACTACTCTCTGTTAGTTTTGGCTGTCACCTTAACTACGCTGCTGCGAGAGAGAGAGAGAGTCGAAGTGCAATGCTGACGTCACACTGCGTGTGCAGTCCTCATAGCCTATTCCATGAGATGCCCCGTTATATTTATAGTTTTTTCTGCTTTTTTCCGAGTAAAACTAAAAGCGTAAATTCGGCAAATCCAAAATATGCAATAATGAGCTCACTCACTATTATGAGAAACCCATGCTTTTGAATTAAATTTATTAAATTTTTCGTTTTAATTAAAAGACTACAGTAGAATCCGGTTATAGCGACTTTCAAGGGGCCGACGATTTTTCGTCGTTATACCCGGAAGACGCACTAAGCAAAAGGAACAAAAAAACATTTCCTTTTTTTGGTTTTTTATTGTTGCCGTCTTCGTAATAGGTTTTTAAAATAAATCAAATTAGTTTTTTAATTTAAACGAAAAATTTAATAAATTTAAGGGATTATATCCAGTTGCGATTTTGAAAAAATCGAAATTTTTTTTTTGCCTATTTTGAATGTATATATATCTAAGAAGATTATCTGAAAATTTCAAAGTATTCCGGTAAATAGTATTGGAGTAATCAGTGTATTTGTAAAGACGTCTCCCATGTAGTTCAACTAGTAGCCAAAACTTTAAATGCGTTTTTCTCGAAACTATGTCTTCAAAGTCGGTGAGCAAAATTTCTCAGAGACGGCTTGTCCGATTGACTTGAAACTTTCACATTCTCTTCTTAGATATTTTTTTCAGGTAATGAGACTTGGAATTTTGGCTCCGACAAAAATTTCGATTTTTTTAGCCACTTCAAAGTTGAAATTTTTGTGCCAAAAACAAAGTTTTATGTTTGGGAAGCCGCCATTTTGTCAAAAATCAAAATTTTGAAAATCCCAAGTCTCATTACCAGCATTTGTCTATTCTTTACGTAATCCTTTTGGTTTTTTGCAATTCAGATAATTTGGACCGGAGAAATTTTGCTCACCGCAAAACCTTTTTTGAAGTAGACCCTCGGGAGATCCTCTACAGGACCGACGGAGTCCAAAATATTTTTTTTTTTTTAAATATATTCTAAAACTAGAAATAATGACCTATCTTTTCATATATATTACGTATTCATACAATAAATTGCCTCTCCAAAAATAATTTTCAAAAAAGCTCATTTTTTTGGCCTCGCAACTGGATATAACCCCTTAATTCAAAAGCATGGGTTTCTCATAATACTAAAAACTGAGTGAACTTATTATTGCATATGTACACTGACGAGCAAAACTGTAACTCAATTTCATTGTTTCAACTTCAAAGGTCTGTAACTTTTTTCTAATGCACGGATTTTGAAGATCTTAGTCTTGTTTTGTAGGTTATATTATTTACTACTATTAAGTAAAATTCAAAGCCATTTGATATCAGTTAAAGAAAATGACACCCCAACCTGTAAAAAAGTCAAATGTTAGAGTTTTGCACTCTGGTTATTTTTTTAAGAAATACTTTTATTAATGATTTTTTAATAGTGAGTTCACATCCCCTTGGACTTTTTTAGCTCTTCTATGCGTCTGGGCATTTTTTGGGTACACCGTCGTACCATTTCCGGGGAATATCATTCCATACGCCCTGTTGCCGCTCTCACAACTCCTTCATTCCACTTGGAGGAACTGCATATTTCTCCAGCTGCGATTTTACATGACTCCACAAGTTTTCTGTTGGATTCATGTCGGGAGATTGTAGTCGCCACTTCATAGATTGAAATTTCTGTTTTGAAATCCAATTTTTTACCAATATGGACGTGTGCTTGGGGTCGTTGTCTTGCTGAAAAACGCATTTTTCGGCAGAAAGACCCAATTTTCCAAAATTCCTTTGGAAGATTTTCTTGTAAAATGGATAGATATTGCACCTTTCGCAATATTCCATCGATTTACAACAAGGAGCCAACTCCATTTAAATTAATGCTCCCCCAAACCATGGAACCGCTAGCGGTTTGTCACTCATTCCTTGGTGACTGGATCGTGGGATCTCTAGTCCAATACCAAGAGCGCCCATCTGACTCGAAGCGATTAATTTTTGTTTCATCCGACCATAAAACCTTGAAAACAAAAGTATTTTGGAATTGTTTGCTTTTTAAGACACTGGTAGCAATGACTTACAGTATCCCAATTTGCTATCAAGCACGGTGGCGGTTCCATCATGGTTTGGGGGAGC